GCTGGAGAATGGGGCTGACGTCAACGTGTAGGAGCCTTACTCTGAAATATTCTTTCATGCAGGGTTATCAGTCGGTTCCATCTACAGTCAGCTGTCAAATACATCTCAAAGTGAGAAGCTTAGAATAGAAAGAGTAAATAATATTAACTATTCCATGCAAAAGTGAAATTATGCTGAAAAATAGATGACTGATTTGAGAGTTTGTAGCTGCTGCAAGAAATGATGATAATTACAATGACAACAGTGATGGTGGCAACAGGCACAGAGGTGATGATACTGAAGATAATAATGATGCTGAGAAAACAGTTGTTTTTATGCTTTTACCACCAGTGCCACAGATTCAGGGCAGACCCCGCTGCACCTGGCTGCATCTGAAGGACTCCTTGACTGCACAGAGATGCTCGTGCAGGCCGGGGCAGATGTGCTGGCCCGGGATAGCATGGGACATACACCTCTGGATTTGGCCCACATCTGGTGCCGCAGGAAGGTAGCAAGGTAACAATCTAAAGAAACAATTCACACCACTTAAAACATTTCATATAAAATAGTTTTGTTTTTGTTTTTTTTACAAACTTCCTGTATGTACTGTATGTGTAGATATCTGAAAAGCTGCATGTGGAAGGCAGAGAAGAACAAAGAAATGGAGGAGAGGAAGCTAGTTCGCACTTTATACAGTGATCTTGTGGACATGGCCAAAGTGAATCATCTCCACAAAAGGGTTTGTATGTTATGGAAATCCATTAATCCAAAATTTTAGGGCAACACACATTTCATAAAAAAAACTATTTATTGTACTAGTACTCTATGTGCAAAGACATTTTCTTAGTCCCAATCTATGTGTGATTTTAGACACTGATAAATGAGAGAATGGCAGAGTGGGCCAACAAGAAAGGTTTTCCCCTCCTAATGGATTTCACCCCCAGAGTCCAGGTGAGCCAGTACCACACCTCATGCCTCTCATCGGGTCAGGACAGCAAGATCACTTCCTCAAAGCCACCTACAGCCTCCAGGCCTTGGACCATCTATACGGGCCTTGAGCCAGAGAAACCCTTCACAGAGCCAGACCTTCGGGACAGTGTCACAGTATGGAGGGACCATAGCAGCAGGCAGCCTCAGTATACTACGAAGTGGGACAGTACACCTCGTGCTGCCCCTGATCTGCCTCTGGATACCCTTGAGAGGGTGCTTTTCCCCAGAGCCTTCCCATCTAGGATTGTCTCTCCTTGGGACTTCAAGCCACAGGACATCATAACAGTCCAGCATCGAGGATATGGGGCGGGGCGGAGCACCTCCCCCTGGACAGAGGTGGCCATGCATCTGGCTGAGGTGCTGGAGCCCGGACACTACTGAGCGTCCATGATGTAGTGGGGCTTCTACTAGATGGAATTTTGTAAGGCATGCATTAAAACATGATCTCATCTGGTCTTTCAATGTTTTGAATATTTATTTTTGCATTGTTTGGTCTGATGTAGAAAATAAGTTTTAGATTTAATGTCCTCAAATGAATGACACATTTATTATAATTAGACGAATTGATACGGGAAAACATATAAACATATTTCACAGAAGTCCAGCAGTGACCTCAGTACAGTCTAAAGCATTAACAGGCATAAAAGTCTTCGCTCACCAAACATCCAGCCACCTCACTCAAAGTGACAAAATTAAAGATGCCACACACTCCAGATGCTACAGTTCCAGAAGCAGGGTGAACAGAAGGGTGAGAGAAAGGTGAGAACATCTCAGTGAAATGGGTCACCTGTCACAGATGCATCCGTGCACTTTCACTGATGCCCCCCACGGAACTGACTCAGGATCCAGGTGAGAGTTAGTCAACAGTGTGTGTGTGTGTGTGTGTGTAAATGTGATCTGTGGCCTGTCAGCCAAAGGTGTGTATGTGTGTGTGTGCATGTGTCATGGCTTTGTCTTTTTCCCTTTACTTCATGAAGCACTTCACACCTCAGTGGGGGTGAAAGTGCACACTGGCCTCAACCTGGTGTACCCTCTGTGACGGAGCCACCTGGGACTTTGATACCACACAGTATTAGCATCCAGCTAGAAAGTCTGGCACATACACACCTTGTTGACAGTGTGGAGTTCAGACTTGAAAAATCCATCATGCTACAAATACAACTTTACCTGACTCAGTTGGAATTGATGAGGAGTAGTATTTCTATTTTTGTCCTTGAAAAGAGCCATTTAAACTGCAAGTAATTTCAACAAAATCTTTTATTTTATTATACAGATGTGTGCATACCAGTCTACAATAAATCACACTCAATAATTGGTAAAAAGAATTTTAGCCTTTCTTTTAATATTTCATCAAACCGCTTTTGTCCCCAACAATCATAAGCTTTACGAGAGTCACTGCACGGGTTCGATCTTCAGGATTGTTTCATTTCTCATTGATGTCGGCTTTACTCGACATTCAATGCATGAAAATCAGTTTGTTATTACTTTGAATTCTTAAAAGGAGGCAAAAAACAGACTGCAATGCTGGTGATTAATGAAGATGCAAGACAAGAAAACAACCGATTTCACATGTGGAATTGTTTATGTGGCCAAATGTGGATGATAGAGTGGGAGAGATCTCTACTAGTTCACCAACTTAAGGGTGAAAAGTCATTCTTCCTTCTCAGGTGGCTTTATTTAATCCATTTCCACTGATCTAACATGTCAGGGTAGAGAATATAAATACTATGTCCTATCTTGTAATCAGAAAAGGACATCTCCATAGATCAGAAGCTGACTCCTTGAGACCACAGACTGCCCTTCCTCATTTTAACGGATCTTAAATAGTTCTATGGTGAACTGTAGCATTCCTGTTGGAAGTGTTTTTGCAACTTTCAGGCTTTCTAGGATAATCTCACACCAAAGTCCAAGCTTGGACATCAGTACAGTACCTTGAAGCTGTCTCTGCCTCTAAGTCTTTAATCGCCATCCCACCTTCTTCATTTGAGTTGAACTTTTTACTTTTGTTGTGTTGTATCTAACCTGTCTTCAATGCTACTTTGTGAGTCAGACCTACAACACACAAATGACAGCGGACGTCATGAGTAGAAGAAAGGTGATGTTGATTTACCTGCCAAAGTCCAAATTTACAGGTATTTGGTGGCTGTTAATTTCAAACCCTGTATATATACTGTACATATTAATACCAAAGCTTAAAAAAGGAGGAGTCCAATGTGAAAATAAGAAAGCCGCTACATCCCCCTCAGTGTGGTCTCTAACAGATGTTGGCAGTCAATACAGACAAACAGAAAGACAAAGACAGACTAACGTGGCCTCGTGTAAGTTCGTCCAGCAGGAAGCGCTGTTTCTGCCCATTGGTCCGTCCTCTTTGTCCCCTTATGGCCACTGCTTCCTTTTAGTGCCATCCAGAAACAAATTCCCACAGCCTTTCCTGCTTGCACTTAATCTCCAGCACATACACACACTCTCACATGTCTGATCCTTGAGGCTGTGCCGAGTCCAAGCTCCTCAGTACATTTTCTGTCGGCTGGGAAGCACTGCCTCCTTCAGGAAAGAGAACACGAGAAGAAAATAAAAAAAAGGGCAAGTGTCATTAATTACAACATCCATCATCAATGCCCACAAAACAACCGTAAATTTAAAAAAAGAAAGTGGTGTCCATTTTGACTCAAGAAAAACTCACCTCCTTGCTGCATGGTGGATGGAAGCACGTTTTCCCCTGCTGACAGTGACACAAAGAAGGCGAAGGGAATCACCCACAGGCAGATGGTGAAGTACGCCAGCACCTGCGGCCAATCAGGAACAAGAAAAAGCCAATTATCATCAGAGGAAACGTAATGGTAGGATACTTCATAAAAGCAATATATGATAGATCAGATTAGTTCTGATGCTATGTCTGAGATGAAATTACCTCTGAGAATGGATAATACTCTGATGCAAAGTACTGGAAGGCCATGTAATGGTTTGCCACCACTAACACTACAAAGTAAAGACGAAGAAAACAATGTCAGAAAACGTAAAAAGGACAAGAAAGTGATGCTATTTGCAGTGGCTTTAGTTTGTCATACTTACCACAGGAGAGGATGAAGTTCGGGGAGCTCAGCAGTATGTAGGGGAAGGTCTGCAGGAGGCCAAAGTACACCAGGTTGGTGAATAGGCCAACTCCCACCATCAATGCTGGGAAGCCTTCAAAAACATAGAGACCTGCCAGTACACCTGTGGAGAACTGGACACAGCAGTTTGACTCAGCAGCTGTTAACAGTATGCAAGTGCCTAAATAAAAACACTGCTCTGCAGTATATCCACTGCCTTACCAGTATCATGTACTTTATTATTCGACTGGTGGCTACTGTGTATTCTTCTATTAGTTCTGCCAAGTAGTACAGGCCAGCAGCTGAGTGAAGATAAAGATACAGTTAGGTGCTAAGGCAGGGAACAGGAAAACCAGGAAAAAGTAGGCTGCTGTCTCAGTACATCTATTTATTAACACGAGCCACAGGTACAAAGTACTTTGAAATATTCACCGAGGTAGGAAAATGTATTTACTGAATACACCACTTCTACTGGAAATCAACTATTACTAAAAATAAATGTTGATTGGTTTACTTTGATAGTGTAGTAAGAACATTTTACAATATACCAGACATGTAGTTTGGTAACTTGTATTGTTTGAAATCTCTTTAAAGTCATGATGAAATAGTTTAGGTAGCACTATTCAAGTGGCACTTGAGCACAAAAGCGATATGTTCAGAATCTTACTTTACCTTTCTAGAATTTTCTTTGTAGGTCTCAAATGTTAAATGTTTCAACTTGCAAAGCTTGTATGAAAAAGGTACAGTTTGAATCAGACCAAATGGTCAAAACAGCTTTAGGTAATTGACAGTTTTCCATACTTGACACTAAGGAGATTTCATTTAGTACCCAAAAGATACTGAGATTTAATACCTGTTCCTGGTCAGCAGCCAAGGCAAAGCAAGAAAAACTGACCCAACAACAGCAGTCCATAATTTAAAACACAAGGCAAAAAAAGCAGTGATCAAACTAGTCAAAACATTTGTGGCAGGGCTTGCAGAAAAACAGCTCATGAAAGATTTTATGTGTCATCACATAAAGACAATCTGCAGTTTCCAAAAGACAGAGCAGAGAGAAAAAGTGACAGCCAGCAGCAGACTGCCTTGCACTTTTGGATTCACTATTTGTCTGCTAGTATTAGCAGACCATGACATCAGCCACAGAGCAGACAAGAAACATCAATTCCAGCGTCAGTAATCCACTGACAAATGCTAAAGACTTCGTCACTTTCCGAGAAGCCAAGTGTGCTGTAATAAATATTAATGTTTCCCAGTGATCGTCTATTGAAGAGGTCTTTGCAGTGAACGTAGGAGACACTATAGCTAAAAAGAAAACAAGATTAATGCTGAAGTTTAGAAAACACCAGTAGCCAGGGATTTTTCACAATCTGGCAACCCAAAGGTTGTTCTAATGAATGACTTATAACAAATCTATACAGCATTGGTAAAACATTTTAATCACTGATAAATTCATAGGTGTCAACTTATCAACATTAATAAATGCTGCCTGATTTGATCTAACGTATTTTGCCCTTTCTGCTAGATTTCCTGTACTTGCATGGCAATACATAGAAAAACAACAAAGACATCCAGTCTGCAGGCTAATACAAAGTAAACGGCTTAAAAAACAGGCGCAGACGGAGGCCTAACAAGTATCTGTGACAGGGTGTGACTACTACTAACATACCGCAGTCAGTAGCCACAGGTGACAGCAGCAGATGCGGTTACGTAGCCACATAACTTATTGACAAAGTGGACATGCAGGCTGTTCGCAACGTTTTGGAGGAAACCAAACATATTGTTGGCAATGTTTGTGCAAAGCATGTAGCGCATGTTAGGCAGCCAGCTTGTCAACAAACCTACTAATGTAAACAAGCAAGAATGCAAGCTAACGTTAGGTCTGAAGCATAACTGGCTAGCTCACGTTAGCTTTCATGTTGCAGAATGTTAGTGTGTAACGTTGTTGCATGTCAGACATTATGACGCTTTCTGATGCACTAACCGATTGACTGACTAGTTTAAATGTAACGTTGAGGTATATAGGTTATATAAATGTGTTAACATATGTACGGCTAAAGGCTAACATTACATCGAACGTGAGCAGTAGTTTATCCAGTGTTCCAAGAAAACTATTTAGACATGAAGAAATGCCTAAATATAACATTATACCCTTAGATACATTTACATAATGTCATAACACCAATAATTTGTAGCCTTGTTATAAGTTAAAAACATCATTTTGTCTTGGTCGCCCGTATCTTACAATAGTGGAAAGCTAGTTAGCTAAGCAGTTAGTCAGCTATCAGTGCACTAACATATGTAACTTCTTTATTCCTGGATTACATGCATGTTATTATTAACACCTTGGTCAATGCTAATGGAGCCGCTCTTGTGTTGAAAAGTGTTCCCCTGTTAAAATCTCGGTTTCACGTAGCGTCCCCCTTCAGTGGATGTGGTTAGGTTAATGTTAGGGGAATTGCGTGTCGATGGGTAAACAGACACAGCACCGTCACTTTGTGAAACGAAGCCTCAATAACGTTTATTGGGGCAGCTACTCCTGCAGTCTCGGTCCGCTACCATTAGCCAGCAAATATTAGCTAGTATAGTAGCACTGCTTTCTTTCTTTCTAGTAGCACTTGTTGGATATGTCAGCATGCACTCACCTATTGCTAAAGTGACGAAGGATATCTGGATCACCAACGACAGCCAGCTCAGTAAATAAATAAACCACATTTCTCTGCATATGAAACACACAATATTGTGAAAATAATACAGAAAATGGCTAGCTGAGCTGACTGTCAACTAGCACCGACCGTCCACCGTGTTTTCAGTACAGGCTGAGGAGAATAAAAAAAAAGAAGGACCGCCCTTCAAAAAAGACAGCTTTGTTTTGGTTGTAGCGCCACGTGTGGTTGGGAGGGAAGTGCAGTAGTCTGACGTTTAAGACCACGTATTCAGCTGGTTTATAACATGCACTGTTTGAGTTTTGTTATGTAATTGTCCTTAAATTTAATTTTATTTTTTTATGCCCTGCCACCATAGTAGGCCAAACTGTATGCTGACTCTATATAGACACATTTACGTCACAATCAGTCACCTTTATTTGGCCAGGTATGTTACACACAAGGAATTTGTTTCCGGTACAGAACCAAGGCAGCCATCTGCGGCACCAACTCAACCAATGGCTCTAACCATTTGGGGCAACTTGGGGGTTCAGTGTCTTGCCCAAGGACACTTCGACATGTGGACTGCTGGCACCAAGATTCAAACCCCCGACTCTCCGGTTGGGAGATGACTGCTCCACCCACTGATCCACAGACAGCCCCACATAATAGATATTTCATATTTACACCACAAATAACGTTTGTGTAATTGATTATCTGATTGGATTTTGAAGCATCTTTCTGCATATATTTGCATATTAATAAGGGGGCCCTGACTTCCCAGAAATTGCTGTAACTCCTGCCTGGTTTTTGAATCCCTGAAAATAGCTTCAGTTAAATCATCTATGAGTATGTAACCAGGTGCAGGTGTACTACAGCTGCCTGCAAAGGGTGGGGTCAATGACATATCAACAAAGTGATCTCTAAGCAAGGTAAGACACTGTGCATCCCCTTTGGGACACAGTGTTAAGTCTTTTCTAAAAAACAGCACAAAGTCAAGTGACAGAAAACATTAACCCAGATGTGGCCTATCTAAGCCATGGTTAGAGCTGGTTGAACTGATGTCCCATGGAAAGCACAGTACCTTCAGTTTCAAAGAGAAAAGAGACACTTCATTCCCACAGTGTCTTGTTCTAGTAAATTTTAAAAGGTGTAGCATGTGGTGCTTCAGGTCATGGTTGTCACTCCATCAAATGTCTTTTGGTTTAATTGTGATGTGCATAGTCCAACACTAACCTGATTTTTAGATATCAAAGGAAAGGTTGTTAAAAAGCTCTTGTGTTATTAACACATTCTTACTATTATCATTATCAGAATAATATATCAGAATACCAGAGAGTTTCAGGATGTGCTCTCTGTCTTTCTCTCTCACAAACACACACACAGGCTCTCATGTGCATGGAGTCAATAACATGGAGGGAGCAGCACACAGCACATCTCAAATGTTACCACCTTTGAGACTGAGAAGGAAAACAATAAAAAATGTATGCTTCTGAGTGAAAAGGGAGACCTTATAGTAAAAAGAGCTAAATAAAATGAATGTATAATGTGAAACAGTGTGAAGACACTAAAATGGTGCCAGAGTTAAAGGTGAGAGTAATTTCATCCCCTTTTCAAATGCTTTTAAAAAAGGCAGAAAGACAGCGTGTGTGTTCATTCATGTGTGCACACATATATACAGTGTCTGCATGTAGGTGAGAAAACAAAAGGCGACCTGCTGCATTTAAAGATACTTTTGGGAGGGAGTGCGCCAGTCACCTGAGGCTCTTATCTCAACAACACCTCTGGGCTTGTGGGTGTGAGAGCTTTTAATGTGCCTAAATAAATGGTGGCCTCCATCTTTCTGCTGGATTGAGCTTTAAGATGCCTCAGGAGAGAAGTGGGCAAGGGTATTCATGTAACCTAAGCCTAAGTGTTTTTTTTTTTCAGTAGCTCAGGCTCTATTTCATCTATATTCTGTAAAAATTCTCCAACTTGCACTTAGATCAGCGAAAACCTTGGCACAAAAAGATGTTAGACATTAAACACAGCTGAATGAGCTCCATTTCCTTTGACACGCAACAAGTTCTTGTTTTTTTTTTTAAGCAAACTTGGGTTGAATAGCATTTGAAGATACTTTTCTTTGTTTTTATGTGGCCATGAGTGTGAGATTTGCTGTTTGCAATATAATAACTAGGAGCTTACAATAAATACTCAGAACTGTGTTTGATCCAGAGGTTTTTTGGTAACCTTTTTAATAGAGACGTGACATTTTACCACAGAAATTGTGCTTTCATGTATTAATTTGATTGAAAAATATGGAGCATTACAGTGGTGTTTAAATGTGAGAAGTCTCATATTTCATCCTGTGACTGCTCTCAGTTTTCTTAGCTGTCGACCAGTGCTGATGCTCTGATACGAGAGTCTCTCAACTCCCTGTTCTGTTTCAGCCTTCGGAGCACAGGAGCGCTGCTGATGTCGCCTGCCCATGGAGCATCTCCTGCTGCCGGGACGTGTTGTGCACCTGACTGGGGGTCTAACGAAGAGATCACCAGTATGAATTCACAAAATGAGAACTAAAGATGGGCTACACCAGCTTCCCACAGTGATATAATAGAGCACCCAGTTCTGATTATAAATACTGCATAGGTTAAAATATTTTTGAGCAGTGACAGGGTAACATACTCTGTGTTTGGGATGAGAAGGAAGTGTCCTGGTTCTCTGCCATTGCTCTCCTTCTCCTCTGGAGCACCAACAGGAGCTCTGCCTCACCCACATTTCGGCCAATTCCCCTCCTGGATGGTACTCTGTGGTGGTGCTGACGCTTCATGTTGTCCTGATGTGTTAGGTGTTGGTTATTACAATATTGCAGTATACTATGTTTAAGTACAGCTCAACAGTATACACACTATTAAAACAAGAGAAATTTGGTTTTTAAAATATTACCAGCATTCCTTTCAACTCCAGAACAGCAGATTTTCTGTTTTCACTCCTCTGGTCCTGCATGAAGATTTGGGATTTGGAAATGTCTTGTTGGAACAGTGTCACTGCGGTTTTAGAATAAACACCAGAGGGAACAACCAAACTTACTGACCTTCCATGAGCTGTCGTCCTCCTGTGAGCAGAGACATTCAGTGATAGTTAGTTTGGTATTTATTACTTTGGATTGTGCTCTTACTGTTAAATTCAGTTTGCATTCACTGGGAATTGCAGACAAACTAAGCCTCTGCGAATACAGTTTGTCTACCTGTAATCTCTGGGTGGGCCTTAAGACAATGCCTTTCCTTATTCTCGCCATCATTTCATCCACTGCTTTTGACTTTAGATCCAACAAGGGTGATGGTTCTTAAAGATTAGAAATGGATTACATAAATACATACATACACAAAGAATAGAAAACATTTTGGTGCTGCACTGATGCAGAAAGCCTGTTTCTTCTTTGTACTTCCTGAAGACAAACTCAAAGCCAAATTATGTGTAAATTCAGTCAAAGATGAGCAAATGCTAAGCATAAAAATGCAAATTAATGATCAAGATTGAACACAAATCCTGATGTGAAATACTCCACACACACACAAAGAAAGAAAATGAAAGGCTCACTGTTTGGATCTCCTTTAATGGTTCCAGCTTTCTTCCTGCTCCTCAGGAAATCAAGTGGACTAGGCAGAGAGAGCGAGAAGTCACACAGATCATGTACAGTGGACTGGTGTTTAACTTAAAGTCATTGCTTCTTATGGCGTAAAAAGCCTGTGAAACAGTATTTAAGATTCTTAACAGAACACAAGGGTTAAACAACTGTGAAATTAAGATTGTCCACTGAAACTCCCCACCTTTTCAGTGGCAGAGGAAGCTCTGGCATTAGTTTCACATACTTGCTGACAGGAGTGGTGGGTGGAGGAAGAGGCGGAGGAGGAGGTGGAGCAGGAATTTCATCTTTGGTTCATCATTTGTATCCCCCCTGTTTATTGTTTCTTGTAACTGGTTCACTACAAAGTAAGACAGTAAAAGACACTGTAGCCAGGAGACAACTGAGACGAGATTTTGTAGACATTACAGTGCAAGCACAGCGACTCAGAAGTGTTTATAAGCAATGACAAGCTCAATTTAAAATAGGAAGTATTTCAATTGGACTTCTGAACACAGCTTAGGGAAACTTTCATGATATGCTCACACCATCTTGTGAGTTGTTTGGACTCAGGAAATATGGAGATGAGGAAAAGTTTGTAGGGGCTTTTAAAATGTGTCCCCTACAGAGATTTTTGAAGCTTGGTCTCAATGTTCATCCATTGCTTGTCACTGTGTAAACTGTGTTTGCTAATAAACGCATTTATTTCTGCAGCTACCTTCTTCCTGGAGCCGGGTGACAGTGCCGTTAGCATCAGACAGCTGAGTTTCCAAAGCCTTCCTCTCCTCCTCACTCTTTTCCAGCTGATTTTTGAGGTTCTGCAGCTCAGACAGAACAGTGCATTCTTCCACAGCACTCTGACTCTGTTTTACCTGAATAAAAGGATGAAAAATTGAGATACAGGACATATACTGAAGGCATACCAGTATCATAACATTCTTCTTCATGACATCTACACACACCTGGTTCTGGCAGTAGCGTTGTATATTGCTCAGGGCTGTGCTGATGTTTGATATCTCTTCCAGCACCTGCTGCAGCTGCAGGTCAGTCTCTGGGCTCTGCATCGTGTTCTGTCCATCGACCACATTGTGCTGCACCAACATCTGACAAAACAAATCAAATCTTGTTTCACCTTTTTGACATCTTGCACACATCTCTACTATTATGTGCTTCTCTGAAAATTGAAACAAAATGCATCAGTGACAATGAGCCACAGATAGAGGAAGAATAAAGTGAAAGCTGAGTGGCTGGTTCTTAATTTTCTCCCCCGCAGGAGACTGTCACAATACAGAGAAAATGTTTTCAAGCAATGTTTTACTGAACAATGACTTGGAAACCTTGTTATTGAAGGAGACTAACAATGCAAACAGGATAATTTAGATGTGAGATAAAGCATAATTTTACCAGCATTATGATAAATGGCTTGTAAGGAAAAGTGAAAACTGTCAGGCTTTGCCTTGATTCACAATACACCAGTATTAAATAATTGGGGTTTGGAGCTCATAAATGATCTGAGCACTCCAAACAAATTCTCCAAAAAATTTTTTTTATTTTTATTTGTGATGTTTCGAGTTGTATACAATATGTTCTGTAGGGGAAAAAAATGAAATACTATATCTACAAAGGGAAAATGGTTTGTGACCCATGCACCATTTCAACACCAATTACAACTGATAAATAAAAGGCAGACCACTGTGATGCACTTAACATGGGACCAATAAAATAGGCCATAAATATGAAAAAACACAAAAAAACTAGCTTCTTCGGGTGTATTTTGTGTGAATGTTATGTTCCTACATGATGATTTCAAAACCTTTTTATGTCGCCATTAATATAATTCTGGTGGAAATATTTAAATTCGATTTTTTTAAAATATTCATAGCCAGAAAGATACATTTTAAATATACTGTCCCACAGCAATATCAGAATCAACCTAAAAAAGCCTATGTGTAATTTGAGTGTAGCATTAAAAGACCCTGATTCCCAGAAACAATACAGAGGAACCGACCTTACTCGTTCATAACCTGTCTATATGGTGGGTTTGTATAAACATTTCTTGGGAACAGGAAGTGTGAAAACAAGTGGTTTTCATTTCTGTGTTTTTGCCATCAGGACACACCGAAGCAGCAGGTTTAGTGAGCTCTGTATCAGAACATGCAGCACGAGTCTCCACACTGCAAATTACACCGCTCTAATCTCTGGTCTCCCTTCAGCAAAGACCAATTTTCACACAGCAATTAGCACAATTATTTCATACATATAAACACACAGGCCCAATCACACACTGCAACACAAAGAGACAAACACACACACACACACACACACACACAAACTCCAAATTGTTTCCTGTTTGAGGCCCTGCATCATTATACCAGCATGCATCACGAAGAAGAGGTGTGAATGGTTGGTGTTTTCAAAACACATGAAAACAGACAAATAGTAGTGCACACAAGAGGCATTCAGCACAGGGGGGTCTTTTGCCATGAATCGAGAGTAAAGGGGCTGAATTGTGTGAACAGTTGGGGGTCCTTTTCACAGGTAAGGACCCCTGTGAGGCAGCCTATTGTGCGCCTGTCCTGTAAATGGAGGACACTGCGCACAAAGGCAACAATTGCTATATGCTCAGCAAAACATAAAGGTGTCAGGCAAAGACAGGTTGTGCTTAAAGACCACTATTCTCCTTCAGCAGCAGTGATGACCATTAATTATGGGGAAGGGAGGGGCTAAATGGGCAGGGAACAGAGATGTTTTTGAAAGAGGAGACCTTCATTATCGGAGCAGCTGGGGCAGCAAAACACTGTGCTGTGTGTCTGTGTGTGTTTGGGTATGTGGATTTTAAGTAAATTGGTGTTTTTCCTCCATGTGGTTGAGTGTGTGTCTGCCTTTGTCTTGTGTGTGTGGACACCTCGCCTCACAGAAAGAGGCCAGGATTGACCAAAGTGTCATCAGTGTGAAAACAGAGAATGGAGCCCCCTTCTCCTGTCCCGCCCCATCAGCTTCCAGCCCCCACCCCCATCCAAGTGTCTGTTAGCCTGAAGGCCAGCGCTAACACTCCCGCTGCCTTCCTGTGGCACGACCTGTCACCCTGACTGTCTATAGGTGTGAATGTATGACAGAAATCTTCATGCCATACTGGATGCCACATGCTCACACCTGGTGGGCGAAGACTTCAGCGTGCTGCCGGAGGTCCTCCTCCAACTCCAGCTTCAGAGACATGTCTGTGAACTCCTCGGTGACAAGCTGGGAGACTGTGCACGCACACACACACACAGAAATAAGAAACACACACAATTAAGTTGCATTTGTAAAAGCCTTCAGAGCATTCATGATGTTTTTGACTAAAAACTCATTTTTAATTGCATAATAGATAATTACTGTGCAAACATTTTTTTAAAAATGTGAAAAATATTTACATATTATAATTGATTAATTGTGTTAATTCTTTTATAATGTAAAAATGCTATATTTTCTTAATCAATTGTCCCAGTAATGAATATTTGCTGCTTTTCTGTTTTATGTACACTAAAGGGTCAGTTCACCCAAATTATGCAAAGTAAGACTTACCTCGTTTGATTTTATTCATGGTCTTGCTCTGTTTATTCATTTTCCTCAGCAAGGCCTCTTTCTCTTCGACTTCCAGAGCTAGCTGTGACAAAAAGCCTCTGATAAGGCACACTGGTATACACACATACTGTACATACAAACACGTACACACACTCACACACGCACACAGTAGTATACCTGCTCTCTGAGGTGGTCTTGCTCTTTGGTCATATCTTCTATTTGCTGCTCGAGCTGCAGCTTCTCAGCCAACAGGCCATCCACTGATGCCTGCAGCTCTAACACACAGCCATAATGTAATATATCATAATGATTATTGTGAGACACCAGGAACAACAGTTGCTAAAATACCTCTTATTTTTAAGGTTACCATTGGAATTCATATCATATATATATGTGTGTTTGTCTGTGTTTAACTATTTGTTTCAGTTTGCTGTACCAGAAGGTTAAAAAAAAGGAAAAAAAAACTTTATAACCCGTGATCCATGATTGCATAATCATGGATCACGAGTAGCACTAGCTAACCTGTGATCTTGGCTTGACTCTCCAGCAGCAGTGACTCCACATCACTACTGTCCTCCCCAAAATCAACCACATCAGTGTTGACTGTGGGGTCATTCTGCGGGTCACAGGTCACAGCAACCAGGTTTTCAGGCAGCTCAGGGATGAATGGCATCAGCATCTGGCTCCTCCTCTTCAGGGTTTTGTTCTCTTTGGTCACCTAGGCAACAGAGAAGATGATGGTGAGTGTGGAGGTGGATGCTGTTGGTGTTATTCAACTTTGTTAGTGTAAAAATGCCAAACAAAGGCAAAGTGGCATTAGGATATACAGTATCTGTGAGGAACAGGATGTGAAGCTGCTTTACACACCACTTACTTAACATGGCAGGATCAGAAAGGAACGGATAAAAGAAGGAGCATACAACAGGAAAAGGAAGCACAGAAAATGAAACGGCAGGAAAGGTAGTTGGAGTGAGGAAGGAAGGAAGGAAAGGGCAAGTGGGACAGGACAGGGAAGGAAAAGAATAGGCAAGAAAACAGTAATAAAGGAGATAGGAAAGGACATAAAAGGGTATAGGAATGAAAATGATATAGGATAAACATATGTCCTGGTATCACATAGGAAAGGAAATGAAAGGAAATGACATAGAAAATCCACAGACAGACAAGAAATGATAGGAAAGGAAAGGACAAATGAATGGACATATGACAGAGAAGGAAAAAAATGAAAAGACAGGAAGAGAAATGAAACAGGAACTTGCATAGGGTACGACAGAACATTAGAGTAAAAAGTAGAGCAAAGGAAAGGAAGGGTATGGAAAAGGGAAGAAGGAACAGGAAAGGATCAACACCACCTCGACAGCCAGTGCCTCAGCACTCTCCCTGCATGAGCGTTCAATCTGGAACTGGATCTCCAGGACATCCATCTCTTTCAAGAGCTGATTGGAGACTGGAAATAAAGAATGTTGTTAGTCAGAGTTATGATAGATTTCAATTAAAATTGCACAGAATCGACTTAACACTCAATAAATATTATTGAAACCCTTTCTGGCTACATTAGTTTTCCTTTCTTCTTTTAATCTCTCTACTAACATGCACTGAAGTTTCTAGGATGCCTTGTGGTGGGCTGGCACCCAGTGCATGCTGGGATATGAACATGGAGCAGGTGAAGAAAACAAACAAATTAAATGAATTCTCACCTTCCTCCAATTTAGCCAGCTTATGTTTGACGTCATCTCTCTGCTTTTCCAGGATCTTATACTAACAATCAAATAAAACAAAGAAGCAAAACAGGACAAAGATGAATCACAACAACACAATGTGTCTGATGTTGTTTCATTGTTTTTTCTATTATTAGCTGGTTGAGGGACCTAAATGCCTTTTGTTCTTGTTAATCAAGTCTGCGCATGTGTACATTTTAGAGCATTTTTAATTTTGTTTAATGTTTTCATTTTCTTTTGGCCTGACATCTCTTTTTTCAACAAGGCCATGGGAGAAGGGTACAGTACATCTGCTGCGCAGGATATTTAGTGTTTCCTCTAGTGCTGATTGTCTCTGATGCACATTAGAAAGCAGCATTAATTAAAAGATAATTTACTGCCTGTCACTACCAGCAATACCTGAAAATCCCCCTCATCTTCGGAAGAATAGTCGCTCTCTTCATCAGACTCTGTGAGGAAAAAAAAAAAGATAATTTTATCTTTATGCAACAGGCAGATTGTCAGATGGGCTGTGGTATCAGAGAACATGCTCAGTGGGATGCGAGACAACCAGCAAGGTTTACTGCTTGTGAGTGCTAGAGGAACTTCACAAGGCCATGTGAGGGAGGCCAGGCAGAGAAATGCAGGAAGTGAAATCGCACAAGGATCACAAATACACGTTTCATTTCCAGTGAATCATAATTCTCCAGCTGCCACTTCACTTTAAGCATTTTGAAACATCTTCCCTTTCTTCCTGAGGAGAACAATGATACCACTCTCATATCCTGTTAAAACTACAGTGTGTCTGTTTTACTCTCTCTGTCTTTTCACATGAACAAGAAGGTCGATCTCATTACCTTAAACCTGATCCCGGCTTTGTTTCCAGTCACTGGGCTAAGCTAAGCTGCTATCAATCTTCTTAGCTTTATAAAAGAAAATGAACTATTGTTTTGAGTATGAAACTAGAACCAGTAGATGATTAGCTTAGCTTTGTGTAAAGACTGGAAACAGGGGATATAGCTAGCTAACCTGGCTATGTCCAAAATGAAAACATCTGCCTACCACTAGCTCTAAAGCTCACGTTATAATATGTCTGAGTGATACCAAGTGTAAGAATGACAGTTTGAGGTTTTACAGGGGAAGCTGTGGTTACGCTAATATTACCAGCTGCTGGGTGTACAATAGCTTCATAGTGGACAGGAGAGTGGTAGAGGATGACATTACTTAAGTCTTGGCAAAAAATAAAATTAATGTGCTACAAAAGTCTTGTGAGCTAACTCCACACCCCCAGATATTTTTCATTTTCAAACTACAAATCTGAAGTAAATATACGTAGACCTATACAGTGACTTTAATGTGTAAAATTTATGTCATTGCCCTTTAAATGTCAGAAATTAATATATGTGGTAACATAATCCAATCAGGATATCTGAAGAATACCAACATTTAAAAAAAAATCACAAAACCTGCTGTCAAAAAAATAATCAAACACACAAAATAAAGACATTCTGTTGTTAGTACTAAAGGCTTTATTCTATTATAAAGCCACGTCCGGTTCTTTCAACCAGGAACTCAGTGAGACGAAGCAGACCACTTGAGTATATAAAAAAATATAACCGTGCTGGTTATAGGCAAGAATTAACATTACACGTCCAGGCATCTTCCACCCCCAAAGCTGCTCGCAGGCAGCCCGGAAGAAGAAAGACCCTGAACCAAGAAACCTATACAATATTAATCCTTCTGGGCTAGCCCCATCCTACACAGGCCACGTCAAACCGTGACGGCACCTGATATGCCAGCTTGGCAGCTGAGCAGAGCAGCCTAGATGCAGCCTGCAGAACTCATGACAATGAACTGAGCATTTAACAGCCTGAGCTAGACATCCTGGCTACACTAACATTTTCTAATACAACAGATCTCTAATCAATATCTATCTAACTAAGAAATTACCTAACAGTACAAAGGTTATATGGGACCTTTTATGCAGTGAATCCATAATATTCAAGAAACATTCACTTAGGAACAAACATGCTAAGCTAAACCCTCTTGTTTGTCTTTTTTGCTCATAACAAATAACTTATTTAGATGAAATCATTTTGAAACTGCAAAAGTCATCATGTGACTGAGTAGTTAAGCACCACTTTGTATCCACATTGTGAAGTCTTACCTGGAATGGCACCATCCTCACCTTCAACCCACATCCTGCTTGTTTTTCAGGTTTTTATTTCCTTAGTAAACTAAATAAAGTTGCACATTCCAGAGCAAACAAGAACCTGTTTTTTCTCTAGGCAGCACTCAGCTTATTATGAAGGAAGCAAGTAGGAATTTCTGCTCAACCCCTCCCAACAGCCACTATTTAAAAAAGAGGAACTTTTTTCTTACATTGGCCAAATCTTAATCACAGTTTAGTGTAGATTTACTGTCTAATAAGAAAGTTTTAATACATATGTTTTTGGCTGTCCAAAGCTACACTTATGTAAATATTTCTTAAATTTGCTTTTGACCCCCTACAAATTGCCTTATCATACAGTGAAAAGAGGGAAATGCAGCCTCTGTCCATGCATGTGGTCTCTAGGGGACGACACTGTCTCTCTACAACAAGATCAATGTCACTCAAGCAGCTGGGGCAAGGAGCTCATGACCTTTGACACATTAGACCCCTGCCATGTGAGAACCAAATCGTGGGAGGCAGTGATAATGCTGATGACACATTCCTCCACTCTGAATAATTTAAAAATGTTTTAATTTGTTATCCCTCATTCCTGAGTTATTTATTCACCTGCCTTGCAGGCGTTGATTTCAAAAACCCGTTCAGGGTTCAGCACTTCTTGCCTTTGCCTCTGAGCGGTAGGAGTGCTTGGAGCTCCAGATGGGTGGGATTTGGTCAGTCAGGGTAAAAAGGAAAACAAGGAATGAATAGGTGGGCTGAATCCCAAGCTTACTGGTTCATAACAAAGAAGCAAATCTTTAAAAATGAGTCAAAATATAATGTTTCACTTATAGAAAGAGCTCAGTAAAACAGCTGGGCACTTTAGGCAAATATTACACAAACAGGAGTGGGGACTATTTTCAGCTGTGGATTAATACCCATTTGGTGCTCTAATAAGTATTTATGGAAGCAGGATGGAGCATGTGGGATCAAATCAAAACAAACAGCGCTCATTTTCACTGTAATGAAGGAACATGTCACCCAGTGCGACGGTGTCACTTATAGTGTCAGTTCAGTTGTATTAAACGTGGCTGGGTTATATTCTCAGATGTGTATTTTCAGGTGAGTGAAGGACTTCTATCCTTTGCACTTGCAAACAGAGGCTCATTAGCAATTAATGCAATTAACACCTATCACTATTACTATTAATAAAACAATATAATGATGCTTTGGTTTGTGGAATAACTTCACACAGATTATTGCACTGACAACACAGAAATGTCCACATGGTGCTTAATGTCAATAAAATGCAGACATTTTTTTCAAACTTTCACATTCTGTGCTGCCACATACCCATTTTTAATGGCAGCCTTGGATAACTGCTTAATAAACTGAAAAAAGACAATGGCTAAAAGGTTTGCAATACAAATGTGGCGCAATAAAAGAGATAATCAAAAGATCTCATTCAGGTTTTTTGCTTTGAAATAACCTTCAACATACATGGGGTTATGAGGTGAGGGATAAAAAGCTGCTATGATTCATGACAGTGTTAGCCTTGTGATTTAATGAGTCTTTTCTCGTTTAGTGCATTGCTCTCTTTACAGGCACCACCTGAGCATCAAAGCCTCCTCTCGCCCATCGCACTGACCTTTACTAATGATTCTTCACCATGTTAATAAATGTGAAATTGTCACTTAACATTAGCCGTTGTCTGGTGTTTCTTGCGGAGGGTAACATTGTCAGAAAGCTCAGCCCTCATTAACACCAGGTCTTTAAATTCTGATTAAATAGAGACAGATTAGTAAGCCAGCAGGATTCATTTCTGAAACAATGCAAAGGCTAAATAAGACATGCTTTGGATTTCCTTCAGCTTTTCGTTTATAACACTCTCTTTGTTTTATTTGGACGCTGGATGTTGTTTTTTTTTTTTTTTACTCTGGCTATTTTAAAAGCACACAAGGTTGCATCTTAGGTAAAAAAAAAACTATAATAAATATTATATTTTTAAAAATACTTTGTGTTATGTTGTGTGATTTTAAAAAAGCCATTTAAATATTTATCAACAGTTTTGCAATATTATATTTTTTAGAAACTTGGTGGGAGTTTAAGTACATTCAGTAATTTAAAACTACCACTCACTTCACATTTTACTGGGTGATTCCAGTATTCTTTAAATACTATTTATTTTTTCCAGACTCAGTATAATGCCATCAGTTTTAGTAGAGCAAAACAAAAGCAGTTCAATAACAGGTAATTCAATTTGGCCATTAGAATTGCATCCTTAACTCTGTTGAGAGAAACTAAACTGAAATGCATTACATTTTCAAGTTTATAAAAAATGTACAGGCAATAATCAATACCTATGGTAAATTAATAACATAAATAACTTTTAAAAACGACATACTTGTCAATTTGTATTTACATATTTTGTCTGCTCAAAATGAAAAGACTTTCCTGTCAATGTGGAGGCTGACTAGGACTCATGACCTCAGTGTTTCTAAAATCTTGGCCACGGCCCTGGTTGTCACAAGAAATCAAATCAGTTCTAAGCTGTGGCTGTGGAAATGCATAAAACGCACTGAAATAATAATCATCAAGGATTTATACATGCATGCTGAAGACATGGATAAATAGTATGGATATCTGTTAATTAAGCGTGTCTACAAAATAAAAGTCTCAGCCAACTGTCTCTGAAAAGCGGAAGTTAGCAGCAGAGCAGCGTGTGCGTGAGCCATGTGATCGGTGTCTCATGGAAGAGATGATCATGTGCTTTATGATACCAGTTTTAGGTCTTTTCTACGCAGTGTTCCCCAAAAGTTTCTGTCGGAAGTGGGATTCAAACTCACACCTGTAGGGGACACAGCAACCTGAACGCACCGCCTTAGACTGCTCGGCCATCCTGACTGATACTCTTAAGAATCATCTTCAATTAAACATAACAACTCGGGTCTGACATATTTTAGCAAACACAGCAAACAAAATGATACCAATTAAACTATATTAGTAGCATGGCTTTCACTCTTCTGACGACGCAGACTACTGATGGAAGAGCTGTGCTGCCCTCAATATAAAGAGGTGCAAGTTTAAGGGGAAAGTTCAAGTTTACCATCATTTGACGAGGAAATGGGCTAAATGTGTGCAAGGTTTTGTTTTCTTGATGATACAGATTCCACTCTTTGTTGAGGAGTTGAGGAGTAAACCATGTTTATAGCCGCACCAGTCCTTTAAAAAAACACTTAAATGTATTATGCAGCATTTTATACACATTTATACAAAAAAATTAACATTATTTGGAAACTGTTGGAGGTACAACTGATTAAATTTTAAATAGAACAGGCTGTGCTGCACTACTTTCATTATTCATGGTGTGTTTCGCTATTAGGAAAAATTAGTTTTACTTTTAGTAAAGGCAAGTGAATTTTTTTATTTTATTTTTCCATTTTCTACATGGAGGTGGCTGCCCTAAAATTTACCTCCTAATGTACAGCAGCAGTATTTCCCCAAGTCCTTTACATAAGACATTAAAAGGTATTAAGCTGTAAAAGAAGCGCAAACATAATAAAAAAGAGAAATAAGATTTTAAAAAGAATAAAATAAGGATAAAATGGTTATAGTGTGGTGGTAGCATACAAATAAAAACCCTTTTTTAATTTAATAAAAATGTGATTCCAGTGATAAAGGGTTTCTCATACAGTAGTGTAGCACTGAGGTTAAAATCATTATTGTTTTTAATTGTAATTAATCAAGTAGGTCCAACTAAGATTAAAAGAGAAACATCACCATGGTAACAGAAAGGCTGAGAGCGTGAAGCAATGTTAGGGATCCAATTAAAATGTGTGGGCACCATCATAATGAAATTATCTTTTCTATTAATTTAAATTGCTCTTTACACCCATTAAGAGTGAAGTTTTTATTCATAGAAGCAGAGATCATCATCAAACTCTGCTGATGCTCTGAAGGGTCAAACACAGATTGGTTTTCAGGCTTTGGCCCCTCTCACCCTGTTTACTCCTCTGCCACGATAACCCCGTGCATGCCTTTCACCCTGAAAATCTGGCAACCCGTCCCTCAACTACATCTACAAGTTGTTGATCCATGACTCTGTTTTAAAGCAGAGATTTAATCAAGCTGACGGATTTAGCATCCGGTTGCTTACTACTTGTAGCAGAATTGCACTGAGGTGACAGAATGTTGGGTTTTAACACCACTCATCTGATGTGTCTTTGGGCAGAGACACACCAAGCTTGCATGAAAGAACTAGCAGTGATGAAGGCCGACTTCTGCATCACCTCACATTGGCTTTGCTGGGGCCAGTTGGATTGAAAACACAGACGACAGCTAGCATGCACATTATGTTCTGTGCCAGCATGACAGAAATAACTCCCCCTACCGGCAGAGAAAGAAGAAGAGCTAGAATGTGAAAGTATAAGCTATAAACAAAACACTTCTCAGAGCAGCTGTTGTTTATAGCTGTTTCTAACCGAGATGATGTCTGATAAGAAATTACAAATGATACTGCCGTTCTGTGCCCTTGGTCTTTTGGTTGTGGAAGAAGAAAGGATGTTGTGGAGGAGAACATCAAGCAGAAACCACACTAAATAGGTGAAATCATGGATACTACAGCGCCAGGCTGAAGTGGCTTCCGTGAACCATTCTCTTCTCGTGCATTGATTCGCTAGGCTCACCAACCAATCAGAGCAGCATCTCTCCCACCAACAAGGCCTGACTGCCGATGCTGATTCAACATGTCTAATTGGTCGAAAAGCCACCGACTAGTGCCAACAGTGTGGGACACACTGGGAGGACTAGCCCCGACAGATGCTCACTGACAGCCTGACAGCTTGGTGTCTCTCTGGCCTCTTAGCACATGGCAAAGAGGGAAGGTTGTGATTATCTGCTGGGTAAATCTACACTGTTTGTGTTAAAAGAGCAAAGATCTGAGTCAAAAAAGTGACACAAACATACACTCACCTGTTCCAGCTCTGGCCTGCTCAGCGCTAATGACTGTGTGATTGGATTAGCAGGGCTTTTAGCAGCATCTGCAGCTGACAAAGCTAACCTGCAACGGTCAAGCTGGGGTCAACAAGAGATCATCAGGGTCGTGACCTTTGCAGCACCCGAGGCCTGAGAGAGA